ATGTATGTGTCCCGGTTTCACATAATCTCATTATGCGTAATATACTCATTCAATATCTCGACATATTAACAGTGCGGATAACACCGTTTCATTAAATACATAAAAGTGATTCCGAGAAAAAGAAAACGTAGAAATGGTTCTTAACCCGAGGAAAGAGGAAACATAGGCTTTTTTGTACAGACACGATCTCAATTTTTTAAATTTGATAATTTAGTTCCTTTATTTTTTTTGGCATTTGACCCCCTTTAACTTGAAAATCTTTGCAATTAAGAACCAATTAAAAAGATGTATGTTTGTTCAAAAATTCTACACATGAGCGTCTATTGAGTACAATGAAGGTCATTTCTCGCCTTTGAAGCATTTTTAGGGCATTTGACTCTTAAAAACAAGAGTTATTTATCACAATTGATTATGTTCAAATATATTAGATGACTCTGACATCAATATAACTGAACAAATGGGTTGAGAAACAGTTTTTCACCCTTAGCGTACGCTCACGTACACATCACACAATTAGTCATAAAAAAACAGACACCATTTTCTATTGGTCTTTAATTGCAAAGATTATAAAGTTGAATGAGACAATTGACAAAAAGAAAGAATAAGGTCCAAAGTGCCAAATTCAAAAATTTGAGTGGGTATCCATACAAAATAACCAGACATAAATAATAGAGAGGGAGAAAGAAAAGTCCTTATGGAGTGAGAAGTTTAACTTATTTAGGGTCCGTTTGGAAGATGGGGTTAAATCATGTGATTTGAATCAAAATTCAAATTTTGTGAGAGAAATCTTTGGTGGAAACTTTTTCAATTCAATTTTTTTTATGAGAGAAAACGTTATAACATAACTAATTGGAACCCATGTTCTTAGCAAACCCTTAACATTTGTTGTACATTACTGGAGACGTTTCGTTCATGGATTAGAATCATGATATTAGAACCATTTTCGATTTACGTGTATTTTTTATGAGAGAAAATACTGTAGCGAATCATGAACCATGATTCAAATCGGTGTACGAATCCCCCAACCAAACAATCCCTATGTTTGATTGACAGACGATTCTATTAATTTTTTTTTAAATGACATGGACCAAAGCTATTGGTTAGACTTGGTTTGGGACAAAGTTTTGGATAGAGGATTTTAGTCCTTGTTTAAGATAATGTACAGATATCTCCTTTCTCCATTTTTTTCCTTTCAAATTCAATCGAGCACAAAATATTCTATATAAACGAAAGCACGTGCCCATCTCTACTAGTACTAAATTTTTTTTTGAGATGGTGGTTTTTCGACATTTTGATAAATTGGTGAAGCTCAATGATTTACAAATTGTGGAGGCCACTGATCATAGAAAGAAAAATACATACGCTCTTCATGCTCGAAATGAGGGGTTTCTCCATAATAAGACACCTGACAATTTGTAAGAAAACAAAACAATGTAAGAGTCTAAATTAAAATTAACAATACTTGGTATCAATATTGTTAATGCTAGTCCCCGATAACGGCGCCAAAAACTTGATGCGATTTTTTTGCAAGCGTACGAATCGCACAAGTAATATAATTAGTGAATAAGATATCGTTCCAACGGAGACTAGCTTAACAATTACTGAAATTTATATTTTTAACTTTATCTAGACAAATAAAATCTCTGAAATAGATCAAAATTGAAAAGAAAGCAAAATAAAATAACACAAATTATATGTAAAATAATTATGAAAAAAATCAATGCAAATAAAATACTAGAGCATACAAGTTTCACCAAGATAATTCATATTTAATTCCAATTATTCGCTAACATTGCCTCTCATTCATGTAGTAGAACGAAAAATTCTAACTCATCTAATAGTCTTTCTGGGGATGCTATTACAAAAATTTTCAACATGTAAATTCACTATCGCTAGATGTGAATTCCCCATTCTAGAAATTCATTAAGTTCTTTGGTTTTTTTCAAAATTACTCTCGCAAGTCGTATTACTATCTCTCGATGTCCTACGCAGTTTACGGTTCCTTTTATTAGAAACCATTCCTAAAAATCTCCTTCTGGGGTTTCAATTCAATTCAATAAGTGATCAATTTATTGAAAGCATTAAAAACAATAAAAGAAACTCATACATGAATGGAAAACTCTTAGTGAATAAACTTCATTGAAAGAAAATAACGGAAATTAAATATTCATGTCTTGGCTACACTTGTAACCCTAGTTTAGAAATTTAGAACGTCATTGAAAAAGAAAATATAATGACAATAAAATTTAACATAAGAAATTCAAGAAAGAGTAAAATTGTTTGGCGAATTCGAAGTTGAACTCCGTTCTCGAAAGAATCCTCTTCTCCTTCGTAGAGCCGTTTTCTCTCCTTCTTTTTTTAGCCAAAAAGATGTAGAAATTAACCCTAAAAATCCTATTTATAGTGTTTGAAATCGTAATGACATTTTTATAAATTATTGGAACTCAAATAAGCCCAAATTGGCCAATCTCCTCAAAGTAGTGTCGCGGCCCTGGTTTTGGGCGCCGCGGCGTTGATTAAAAAATCAGCTCTCCTTGTCAATGCTTCGAAGTAGCGTCGTGGCTCTGGTTTTGGACACCGCAGCGTGGAACGAAAAAAGTCTTCACTGCGTAAAATAGCGCCATGGCTCCACTGCACAAAGCCTGGGTTCTCTTCCCTCAGGTTTTTGTACTGCAAATGGATCATTTCAGAACCTAGGTGCCATCTTTCAAGGCCGAGGCTCTGCAATATCACTTTAGCTCCAAAAATTACTCAAACACTCGCTACGAACTCCAAATGATGCTAATCTACAAAACCAACTAAAATTATATAAATTAACTACTAAAACTACTCTAAAACCAACAAAACACTCAATTAGACGTATCAAAAAATAATCATAAATCCAATGTATCAGCATCATACAAAATAACCGGACATAAATAATAGAGAGGGAGAAAGAAAAGTCTTTGTGGAGTGAGAAGTTTAACTTATTTAGGGTCCGTTTGGAAGATAGGGTTAAATTAGGTGATTGGAATCAGAATTTAAATTTTGTGAGAGAAAGCTTCGGTGGAAACTTTTTAAATTTAAATTTTTTATAAGAGAAAACGTTATAGCATAACCAATTGAAACCCATGTTCTTAGCAAACCCTTAACGTTTGTTGTACATTACTTAATGTTTAATTGACAGACGATTCTATTAAATTTTTTAAATGACATGGACCAAAGTTATTGGTTAGATTGGTTTGGGACAAAGTTTTTGATAGAGGATTTTAGTCCTTGTTTAAGATAATGTACAGATATCTCCTTTCTCCATTTTTTCGCCTTCAAATTCAACCAAGTGCAAAATATTCTATATAAACGAAAGCACGTGTCCATCTCTATTAATACTAAATTTTTTTTTTTTGAGATGGCGGTTTTTGGACACTTGGATAAATTGGAGAAACTCAATGATTTACAAAATGTGGAGGCCACTGATCATAGAAAGAAAAATATATACACTCTTCATGCTCGAAATGAGGGGTTTTGGTTTTGCAAATAAATCAGGATTGGATCATGTAACAATAAGGTCTCTCTTAGATTTTTACAGAAATTATATTGAATAACAGATTTTTGAATTTATTTCACCGATTTGAGTTTAGAATTCGAGTTTTATTATAGTAAAAAGCTCTTAAAAATAATCACATCTAAATTTTTTACTACAGTAAAAAGCTCTCATATAAAGTCACATATCAACTCGAATTAAAAACTCATATATGCGAACTAAACGGACCATAAATAAAGCAAATAGTAGATATTAAAATATTTGAAGCAAATAGTAGAAAAGATTTTTTACCTCATAAATTTTGTATGCACGATTGGATTTACGCAGTAAAAAGATTTTTTTACCACGTAAATTATCTTTTTACCATTAGATTTAAGTGGTAAAAAGAGTTTTTTTACCATGTCAATTTTTAATTTATTAATATTTACTTCAAATGGTTTTAATATTCGCTATTTACTTTGATTATTTACTGTAAATTTACTATTTATTATTGTAAATTTACTATTTACTCATTCTCTTACATTTTTAAGAGTGTAAATCTTTTTTCTTGTAATTGTTTTTGTTTTGCCTTCTTTGCATGGTTGTTTCATTTGCCCTTTTTATTTTCTTGTGTTGTTCGCCTTGCGGTTGGATACTGTTTTTATTTTCACAGTAAAGCATTTACGACATTTAGCATCAAAAGAATATTAAGAAAACATTTCACATTCATGATCAGTGTACCAAATACAAAGCTTAAAGGTCATTAGTGTGACGTTTAAAATTTTAGGGACAATTTAGAGGTAAAAATTAGAATAAATATATTGATTTTATTAAATTACCCTCATTAAAAACATTATGTGGACCTAACGTGTTAATTGCATTCATTTTTAACGATTTTTTAACAGACAAATCGAAAGTCTAACGTTTATAGAACTCATGGACCAATAGTGTGATAGTTGAAAGTTTAGGAGGTGAAATGAGATAATAAGGTCTCATTTAGTTCGTTAATTTGAGTTTTTAATTCGAGTTGAGATGTGATTTTATGTAAAAAAATTTAATCGTAGTAAAAAAAGTTATATGTGACTTTTTATGAGAACTTTTAACTGTAATAAAATTAGAATTAAAAACTTGAATCGGTGAAATGTAGAAACTTCGTTCACTTCGCTGATTCGAATTTAGAATTCGAGTTTTTCTACAGTAAAAAGCTCTCACAAACAATCACATCTAACTTTTTTGCTACAGTAAAAAGCTCTCACATAAAATCACATCTTAACTCGAATTCTAAACTCAAATCAGCAAAGTGAACGAGGCCTTAAATATTTTTTGCAGTCAAAATTAAAAATTAACTCCGAAGAGATTTGAAATCCGAGGGTTTCCAAGCAAACGTAACGGCCTACAAAGCACCATTTCAGAAGAGAATTACAGGAAGATATATCTTTCCTTGTTATTGTCTCTGAATTCTGGCTTAATCTCTCCATTCTCTACTCTTTGATTTGTCATGATGAAAAGGACGATTCGCAAGGTCAAGAAACCAGACAATTCTTCCAAGGTAATGCCTCCTCTTCCCCCAAAATTAAAACCCTAAACCCTAACCTCCGTTTGGTTCCCGAGAAAATTCGAAAACAAGAACAGAAACGGAATGAATTTTTAGTTAATTTTTGACTTGTTTTTCTAATTGCTGGTTCTCTTGATCTCTTTGCATTCTCCAGCTGGTTTGTCTTTCGACGACGAATTCCAATGGATTGGCTTCGAGCGTTTCGTCATCGAGATGTGCCTATGTCGCCGGGTGCGTCCTGGTGGTTTACGATGTGGATTACCGGCACCCACTCGCACCTCGTGGTTTTTCAACAAATGCCGAGACCGTTGAGCTGCGTCGCCGTCTCCAAAGATGGGCGTTTCATAGCAGCTGGAGAGGTAGAAAATCAATTTCTTCTGATAAACCATTTGTATTTCTCTTGTGTCAATGTTAGCGTTTCTTTATAGTTTAAAATATGTACAAGGCCATAACGCAGGAGCTTGAATTTGATGGAAATAAGAATATCCTCAACCATAATTTTAAATAACTATTTCCTGCACGAATTTGTTGTCATTAGATTTTTCTTCTCCATTTTTATAATTGTATAGATTGTATAGATAAAGGCAAACATACATGTGTGTGTGTGTGTATGTATATATTTATAAGTTTTTTGTATGCTTCTAATAATTTTTTGCAGTCAGGAACTCAACTTGCAGTGTTAGTGTGGGACGTTGAGACACTAGCCTTGGTGTATGAGCTTAAAGGTCATCTGTTTGGAGTTGGATGCATTGCATTCTCACCTGATGGTTAGCTTAAGCCTTGAATCAATCATCAATATTTAATATTCAGCCTTATTATTCCGCTTCCATAGTCTCTTTCGGATTTCTTCATTTTTGCTGTTTATAAACATATTAGGAAGACATTTGGTGTCTGTTGGAGGATACATCCATCTGTGGGAGTGGCGGATTGGTATGCTGGTTACAAAGCTTAAAGCAAGTGCATCTTGTTCTGCTATTTCATCAGTTAGCTTCTCATCAGATGCAAAATTCGTTATAACTGCTGGGAAGAAACACTTAATGTTCTGGACTGTTAGATCATCCCCAAAGACTCGTTTAAGTAAAGGGAATGTATCAATGACAATGCATGGAAAGGCTGTCAATCTTGGTCTTCAGAAGGGAAGGTCATTTATATCTGTAACATCCTCCCTCAGAACTAATAAAACTACTATGTGTGGCCAGGCTGGTGAATTTTTCCCCTTATACGCATTAACTGATGCAGGTTGAGGCTAATTTCCCATCAATGTAAGCTATAGTGCATTCAAGATTGTAAAGTTTGACTTGACAAGTCCCATTCCGTTGTTTACAGGTGTTTTGTGCCTTATACATTCTGGTTTGTCAGTAAGGAAGTCTGTGGATTTAAAGGTTCGTTTTATGTTCCCCATATGGTTCTTGGTGGATTTCAAAAGATCCAATTAGTATTTAAGGAAACTGGAATATTTTTGGAGGCCTGTATAGCTGCCCGGACAGTGAGTCTAGTCGAGTACTGGTCCAATTTATGTAATAATTGCCTTATAGTTTCCTTACTCCAATTCCAATTATATGTTTTGTAGCATTCATGGTTTTTCTTTGACTTTGCAGTACAATCCAATGCCATGTTTGGGTCCTTAAACATACTCATGGTCTTTAGTATTATAATGTTTCAAACCTTGATGTATTATATGCATAGAAGAAAGCAAGCAAGAAGTTGTGCAAAAAGGAAACAAAAGTTGTTATATGAATGTTGTTTATAAAAGTTTGTAAAAACTGGTCATATCTGCTTGGCTGGATTATGACAAAGTTGCTCACTATAAACCCCTCAAAAGTTTGTGTTGTCTATTTTCTTTTTTCTTTCTTTTTGAGGTATTCCTTTAATGCTATTCCTTTTTCCCCCCATTTCTTTACCATTCAAAACTAAATTTTCAGGTTGATAAAGGCTTTGCAGTATCTGTATCCGACAAGCTAATTGCTTGTGCTTGTAGTAGTGGAATAGTGCGACTCTTCACCATTGAGACCCTTAAATATGCTGGAAGTCTGTCATATTCAAAGGATAAAAAAGGTGGTGGGATTGGGAATAATGACATTTTTTGCCCTAATAAAGATGTGGAAACAGATTTTCAACTTTTACCTAATCTCCCTGATGCAGTTGCGTGTCAGTTCATGATGTCAGAAAAACTTGGTGAGTATGTACTATAGGAGTTGCCCTTGTTTCATCTCTATGAACATCCTGAAACAGTCTCTCTATTTGTGTTTTCAGTGGTTATTTATGGAGATCATAGCCTCTATATATGGAATATTCATGATGTGAACCAGGTAATTGCTTTGTTTATGATTTGTTACTCATTTCATTTTTCTTCTCGTTCGTTTGATACATTCAAACTCTATCAGTGTCAATCTATTTTGTTTTATTTATTCTCATACAAATTTTAGGATTTTTTTTCTTTATTTTATGCATATTGCACAAGTTTGCAAATTTGTTTTAATAAAATTATTCTTTGCATCTATTTCCATCCAGGCTACAAGGTGTTATGTGTTACTTTCACACTCTGCATGCATATGGGATGTCAAAAATCTTTGCTGTGATAACTTGCATGATCAGTCTCTTGCATGTGTTGCTAGAGGTTGTTCTGGTGGAGTTTCTTTTGCAACGTGCTCAACAGATGGTTCTATTAGGTTGTGGGATCTTTCTTTCCAGCCTAATCCATCAGAAGATCTTGCAGACCACCATCCTTTGAATACTGAATCAATGAGCACCACAAGATTAGGTATCTGGAAAATTTTCTACTGTGATTTCTGGAGTGCAGAAATAAGCATTCTTTTAGCTCATAATGAAACGGGCTTATTAGTTAACTTAAAGTTTTTATTAATTTCATGTCTTGATGCCAATTGCATTTATGTTAATTGGTGCAGTGAGCACAGGGACATTTGAACGTGATGCTATGGAGTTAGGTTTTAGCGCTCAAGGGTTTAGGTCAATGGCAGTTAGTCCAGATGGAAAGTATCTCGCTGCTGGCGATAGCAAGGGAAGCCTTCATATATATGACCTTCATACTTTTGATTATACATGTTTCCAGGTAATATCAAGTTATAGGTATTGTCGGTTATTTTAAAAATATATTCTTTTGGAACCAAAGCATGCAAGTGTTTTCATCTTGATTGCAATATATATATTCGCAATCGTGGCAGGACGCTCATGATTCAGAGATCCTATCTCTGAGCTTTAGTTTGTCGAGCAAGAAGCATGTTGATTCCAAAGAGGTGACTACTGGACATTATTTCCTTGCTTCTGGAGGGCGTGATCAACTTATTCATCTTTATGATGTCAGAAGGTCCGGCCTATTATCTTATAGAAGACATTTCTAGTTTGTGCGATAGTATGTTCATTAGGCTTCTTCCATGACAGGAATTTTGATCTCATTGAGAGTATTGATGACCATTCCGCTGCAGTTACTTCTGTAAAACTTGCTTGCAATGGCCATAAGATTCTAAGTTCCGCCGCTGATAGGTATGCTCAAATTATGCGTAATTTCATACGCAAAGTGAACTTTGAAACCATTTATTAATCAAAATGTATTACATAATGTTTCAGACATTAGTTCTATTGACTTAATTTATCCAATTTCATAAGGTGCAATTACATTCTCTTTGTTTTGTTGCTTATTGTAATGAACGATATAGTTTTCCAGGCAACCACTAATGCCTCCTGATTTGCAACTTGTGCTTTTAAGTTCCTGTAGGAAAGAACTTAATTGAATAATTTCATACTGCATTAGAACTCCTTTTATTGTCAATATGATTTATTTATTATTTTATTATCTTTATACAGGTCTTTAGTGTTCCGAGACATTTCTGTCACAGATAATGGTTTCCAAATTTCGCATCGGCTTCATCAAATGGCATCTCATGGAACTGTTTATGACATGGTTGTAGATCCAAAATCAGAGATTGCAGTAACAGTAGGACAGGTAATTATCTGAAATTAATTAATAAATACATCTGCATAAAATATGCAGAGGAATTGCTTCATTTCAAGTCCAAGCAGGCTGCTTGAACTGTATGTGTCACAAAGGTAGAGTGCATTTGTTGACCGCAATGATGCAGTTGATTACAAAAATCCTTTTTCTATTTATAGGACAAGAAGATAAACACGTTTGACATTGCTTCTGGGAGGTTAATTAGATCATTCAAGCAAAATAAATATTCTGGGGACCCTATAAAGGTGAGTTATGCTGCTGGTCTGCAAGGCTTCTACCAATGTCCATTCTTGTGCTAAAAGATAATCATGTTTGCAGGTTACAATGGACCCAAGCTGTAGTTACCTGGTCTGCTCCGATTCTAACAAGTCTCTATACATTTATGACTTTATTACTGGAGAGATGGTTACACAAGTCATGGGGCATGGTGAAGTTATAACTGGTGTCATTTTCTTACCCGATTGCAAGCATATAATTTCAGTAAGCACATAAATTTTATGTACTTATTGCTATGAAAGTTTGGTTTCTTAATCTAGGATTTTTGAGGAATAATTCCCTTTTTCATTGATTGGAAAGTAAAACTGTACAGCCTATAAATATACATTCATACAAGCAAAGGAAACTAGCCTAATTTAGGAATGTACAATCAAAACAAAAAATATACAAATCAGGAATTAAGGATGCTAGTTGATTAGCCCTTAAAGGAAAGAATTAAGCATTAATGTTAGAGAATATCAACACTGGAAATCAGCGTTGCGTTCGAAAACTTCCCCTCAAGTTTGTTAGGAACCTAATATTTAGGGGGTTTAGTTGT